AAGAGGCTCCATGGTTCCGGACTTTATACTTGTCGTCTCCTTTGTGATTGCCAATGTGAGAAATGAGATTAGAAATTTACTATTGCTTTTTACTTCTCAAAAAGAAATTGTAATTTGTAATATAAATAATTAATAACTGATGCAATCTTATATTATTTATATTAATTAAAAAGATTAATTTATTCCTAAATCATCCTCGAATCTACTGCCTTTCAAATATGAAAGGAATTTGCAGCACCTATATAAAAGTAATATTATTTATATTTTATTTTTCTTATATTTACTTTACATTATGCTTTAATTAAAATAAAAAAATAAAAAATTCACATTCTAATATATACTTTTATTTCTCAAACACATAAAAGTAATTTATTTATTTTGTATAAACATCTTTTCTTTGTTAAAAAAAATTTATATGTACAATCGCAATTATTCAAAACGAGGTATGGTGGAACGAAGGCATTATCAAATTGAAACGTTCAAGTAGGATGCTTCACAAAATTTAGTGTGGATCATTGACATAAAAGAGAAAAAGGAGGAAAGAGAATGAATACTATTACTTTTATATTTCTAGTATATATTTCTAAATGCTTGTTGTACACAAGATATCACACTAGGAACATTTTAGGTTGACTTGATATGCATAAGAATGTTTAAGACTTCAAAACTATAATTTTTCCACATTAAAGAACGAACATACAGAGGTAAAGGAAACCATCGAAATTTACAGTGACGGTGTTGAGTTAAAGATGAGAAAACCGAAAGAATACTTAGCTTAAAGGAGTAACCCTCAACATGCATATCTAGTTTGTGTATTGTGGATACACATACGGAGACCAAAACTCGTAAGGTCGTACGAAGATCAACTTGGCTTCCGCATTTGATATGCCATTCGTCATTGATCGCGATTGTGTGGTGGGTGGAAATCGAAATTCACCGATTCCCACAAACAGCACCAAATGTTCTGGAGGGAACATTAATATATGGTAAAGGGGCTCAAGAACCTCTCTCTTCCTTTGCTATAGAGAGATATAGATGAAGTGCATTAGAAGTTAGAGAAGTGGTGCACATAATAGGTGGTTATATGTAGTGGAGGGAAGTTGAGAAAAAGTAGGAGAGTGAAGTGCTTCATGTCGTGGGGATAAAATGGGGACCATTTAATTGGTCCATTTAATTGACCTGGCTTGGTTTGACCTGTTTTAAAAATAATACAAGCTTGAGTTCATCAAAAAGCTTGTTTAGAAATCAGGCCATAAGCTAATTTTAGCAAGTTTGGCCTCTAAGCTTCCAAGTCTGGCTCATATTTTTTAATAAATAATATTTTAGCTTATTTTTAATAAGGGTGTTCGCGGTCTGGATTGGATAGGTTTTGGAAGCAAAAATCATCTGATCCAATTCCTTTGATTTGATCATGTAATCATCTATTCGGTTTGAATTTTTTTTCAAATCCGATCTGATCCAATCCAATTTTTTTCGGTTTGGATTGGATTGATTTTCGGTTTTTTCAAAATCCTAGAAACCCTTATAAATACTACCACTTAAGTCATCAGCCTCCAAGGTCAATAAATAGAAGAGGTAAGCTCAGATCTGAAAAGGTTCCAACTAGGGGTGTAAATGGGCTGGGCTGGGCTGGGCTTTGCTTTAAATAGGTCAGGCCTGTGTAACAAATATTGGGTATGGCCTGGCCTATTGGCCCGTGTAGGCCCAAAATTACAAGTCTGGTCTGGCCTATCTTTTAAAAATAGAAGTCTTGGCCTAGGCCTGTTTAAGTTTATTAAACATTCAACAATTAAAAGAATAACTAAACTAATATTATTTTATTATTCAAAATTATTAAAATAATAATTTTATTTAATATATTTTAAATAAATAATATGATATAGGCCGGCCTGTAGGCTTATAGGCCAGACTTGTACAAAAAAGCCTAGGTATTTTCTAAATAGGTATTTTTAAAAGCCTAGGCCTGTTCTATTTTACTATTTACAATAGGACAAGCCTGGCCTAATATAGGCTAGGTCGTAGGCCCCTGTAGGCCGGCCTAGCCCATTTACACCCCTAGTTCCAACATACTTCCCCTTCTCCCTCGAGAAATAGCTTAGAAGGTTTACCATAGAGCAAAGAGATCTATTTGAGCTAGAGAAATCTATTCGTGTTATGATGCAGAAGAGAACGGTACGTGAGTTCGTGCTGTGACACAGAGGAGATCAATTCCTGAAGGCAGTGGCGGACCCAGGAAATTTTATTTCTGTCCACACACTTAGTGGTGGGGTTTGCCTCCAAAAAAATATATTAAAAATAAAAGAATATAAAAAAACAAAAAATTCAACTTAACATAAAAAAAAATAGTAATCAAGAATAACTAAATTATTATAATAAAACAATTATCTTTTATACACATGAAAATATATGAGACCCGTATAAGATTATGTGAAAATATGAAAGAAAAATAAAATTTAAATTTAATATACTTTTATATGTGTGTATTTTACCTTATAATACGATGAAAAAAATTATATCCATTAATACATTGGAGGGGAGGGGAACTATTCCATTTTTCTTTGGGCAGTATACGGATACAGAGACAGTTTTTTTTTTATATATATTGGGTTTGAGACGAATAAAAGCCTTGTGGTCGAACTTGGGAGAAGGCATATTATGAAACTCTTCCTATGTAAAACAATTTTTTATTTTTTTTCAAAAATTCATGTACGCACTTGCGGACATGTGCGTGTGACTGGGTCCGCCAGTGGCTGAAGGGGAATCACACGCAAGGTGATTCTACGGAGATCTGCACGTCAAGAGGTAAATACGAGACGAGGATGATTCCATAAACATACCAATGTACTAGGTCTTAAATCGCTTCCGCATAAATCTAATAGTTCTTACATAAACTACCAACTTGGTTAAAAACAAAAAAAAAAAATATGAGAAAAAACATCATCACCAAGGGCCTAGAATGCTCCCATTCTAATAAAAGCTTTAGCTACTTCAGCATGATCAATTGGTCTGTCTAGCATAGGTCGAGTCTGATCACGAAATTGGTATTGTATGCCACCAAGGTCTTTGGTAGGTTTCCTCAAAGAATAAATTCCGATAGAAATCATTAAAGAGAGCACAAAGACTTTGATCATTTCCAATCCATGTTCCAATAGCATCTTTAACCTCCATTTATTTTTATGTACACAATGAATTATTGTTGAGTTTAATAAAATTGGGTATTATGATCCCCATCATTGATTCACTTGCTTTTATATTTTTGAAACTACAAAAGTTCTTAGGAGAGAATTGAGTCAAGCTCTTGTAGAAAAAAAATTTCTAGATGGTACATCAATAGGATCAATACATATATGACATATAAAACACCACACGCAAAAATAATTCCAGAATAAATAAATAAATCTGAAGACACATTCTGAGAACAGGTTTGCGGGCCACCTATATTCCCTTAAGCAGTAAGAACAATTGTATTCGCCTCATTTTTCTACTATGTCCATTATATCATTGATCACATGGTGATCATGGCCAGTGCTTTGAACAACACTAAAGGATAAGAGACAATATTGGATTGGTCTACATGTGAATTTTCCACACTGTATATATATGTAATGTGCTCATGGTTGGTTGACTAGAGATGTTGTTGGGCATTTAGTAAAATAGTTTTTATAAATAATCATGAAATTTTAATTGTATTAATAAGTGCTTCAATTATGATGATTAATAATAAAAATTTTAGCAATGGTATATTACGGTTTTATTAATCAAAATTAAATACTCATTCTAAAAGGCACGCACGAGAAGTTCTCCAAAAACAAATAATTTTTTAGATAAAAATAAATAAATAAGATAACTTCCTATATAAGAGGTCAGCAAACCACAAACACTTAAAAAAAGACAACTTAAAAAAATATTAAGAGTGATTATATAGAAATGAAATGTTTGTGCTTTTTCTAGTTCCAGATTAATAGAGGTTAAAGAATAATTCTAAATAATAAACTGCCGAATGTCCACCAAAATATTTATGAAACGTATCCTGGATGCTTCCGATTTGTTTCAAATTTCTACACTATCCTCTTTCAAATCTCCACTATCCTCTTTCAAATCTCCACCTGCTTCTTCATGAAACAATAATAGTTTACAAAGTGTTATATTTGCGTCAACACGATTGACAATGTTCAAAGACTGGTGCAGAGAATAATTAATATTTTGATAAAAATATTTTTTTTTTAAATTAAATTTATTTAATATCAAAAGAAAACCTTAATGTAAGGGTTCGTGTTGTTACCATATAATTTAGAAATCATAAATTCGATTCATATAATTAGCCTTTTATAAAAATAAGATAAAACTATCTATTATATACCTTTACTGGACCTCAGCTCATAGACGAAGCTTAATGGTACCTGGCTACAAGAATAATATATTAATTTAGTAGTATAAAGCCACAACTACTAAAAAAAATTAATGAATGAAAGGTCGTGTCGTGACTCTATGCCATGACTCCTCTAAGATGTCCTGAAAATTTGTAAGGCAGAATTCTTCAATATATTTTTTCAATTAAAAATTAACAAAATATTAGAAATAAATATGTACATGATGTAAACAATAATCTAACGATTTAATTTTCATATAAACTTGTTTTATTATATTTTATTTTTAAAAAAAGTAAAAATGGAGAGTAAACCATGACTGTTTATTTTATGTTACAATATTAAAAAAAAATCAACTTGTATCAAATGGGTAAAATTAAATATCTCTTCACGTGTGTAAAATTAAGATGATTACTAATGAGAATTTTATTAACGGTATATTACAGTTTTCTTAATTAAAATTCAATGCACATATTTTTAATAGAAATTGAAAGCATATTAACATTTCTTTATGGGAAAAACCTGAGTTTTGCAAAGTTATGGGCATATATATCGACAAATTAGCAACGTCGTCAACTTCTATAAACGAATCAAATCCAGTAGGTCGTGCAGATGAACTTGCAGGCACTACTCGATTGGCAAATTTTATACATTTTTTGTTAAATTACATTGTTACTTTGACACTAACAAGTAGATTTCTAAGATACAAAAAAAATTCGGTTTATTATCTCTCATATTGTAGGAAATAATTTTATCTCCTACACACACATCAAAATATGTGGAGCCCATATTTTCTTTTTGCTCTCTTTTCTTCATATGGCTTCACAAACCCCACTACACACTTTTACATGTGTATATGAGATAATTTTATCACCTATAAGAAAAATCAAACCCATAAAAAAAATTACTATAAACACTCAGTCTCTTAGTAAACTTCTTTCCCATTGAAATAAGCCAGATCTCTCTAAATCTAGAGGGGATAAACAAGCCGACTCTAATTTCTTTCCACCAAGCACATTTGAGACAATCACTAATAAAGTCAGGCAAGCATGAAATTCCTCCATCTTCTGTAAATCAGTGAGCTCCAATGAATGATCCTTCCAAGGCTGGTAAAAGGACCTAAACAACGAATAGGTCAAATATGATTAGTTTTGAAGCATAGAAGAATACCAAAAATCCAACCAGACTTCGATTGTAATAGCAGTAAAATATACATTTTCCAGTTCATTTGAGTATCTTATGTAAAATATTCAAATTCACCTACAGCTAATTTGATGCTAGTGAACTTATTATGGAATCAATGTTGCCAAATTTCACTCAAGATGTTGATAATCAAAACTCAAATGCAAATGGATGATTTTGTTAATAAATGTTCCTAATTATAGGGGTGCTGTCAAAGAAGCCAGCTTGACACCAGGCGTATAATTTGAGCCTGACCCCTTTATAGCTCCCGTATAGTTTTGAATATGTTGGACGTGACTCGGGAATTATAAAAACTTAAGTAAGGAATTATGTTTTCCTTGTTTAAGATAATAACTACAGACCACGTAAGGATGAGTGATGAACCCTTAGTTCATCAGGTTTTTGAGCATGAATTAGTATAAATTTGTGTGATTAAATGGATGAAAAAGAGGTCAATGTCTTATAAATTCCTAAATACAAGTTCTGGAAGTTGTATTGAAAATTTACATTGTTCTTGTAGGGAATTGAAGCTCAAAGAAGCAAAAGAGAGAAGGAAGAAGATTCTGAAAATTGGAAAATTCTAAGTGTTGGGCGCTAAAACGCCCAAAACTGAGCGTTTTAGCGCCCTGCTGCACAAAAGATGCTGGTGCTGAACATTAAAACGGCCAAAACTGGGCGTTTTAGCGCCCAAGACAGTTAAAAGCAGTTGGGCATCCGTCAAGGTTGAGCGCTAAAACGTCCAGAAATGAGAGTTTTAGCGCCCATGTCAATTTTCAGTTGTAATTTGTAAATTATAAAAGGACAAGGGGCCTTCATACTCTGGGATACTATCATCAGATTCAACTCTCTCATATCCATTCTCTGATATTCTGACTTTTCCCATCACACTAGGAGAAGGGAGATCAGGTCAGATCTTTCATAGATCTGATCTGACTCCTCATTTTCTCTGACTTTCCAAATTCTTAGGACTTAGTATTGTAATAGTTAGTATACTTTCATGTAATTGTACTTGAAGATTGAAGACTCAACTATCATGACAATGGAGTTTGATCTTTCTTCTTCTTCTCTTGTTATTATTTGTATTATGTCTGAGTAGAGTCCTTTGTAGTCTGATTCAATGGAACTCAAGTTTGAATTTATGAATGGTTAATTAAATGTTTTGTTTATCTATTATGTGATTGTATGAAGTTGTCTTGATTAATTCTTCATGTTGAGGAATAGTGTAGAACAGACATGTTTACATTGTTTCTCTATTTTTGACAACTTCATCATCAGTGTTCTAGTAGTCAAGGGATTGATGCTAGGATTCTGATGTGATCTTAAGACCTTAGTAATTAATGTATGTATTAAGAAAGGAATCACCAAGGGATTGGGGTTTCTGATTAATGTGTCTATCAGGGTAGTAAGGGATTACATCTTGAGATGATAAGAAAAAGGTTGATCAACATCACATAGTAGATAATTCATAATGGAAATTAGTTCATCTATAAATTCATGTTTGAGGGAAAATGACATTTGACTACTTGTTTAAATTATAAGTAAATTTTATTTGTTTTATCAAATCTTAATTTTTTATGCGATTCAACTTTATTTCTGGTGACAAGAAATCAAGCAATCAATGATCTTTTGGTTGATTCAACTCAAATACATATGGTTAGTTGGTGCTTGACACAAATCCTCGTGGGAACGATCTTTGCTCATCATTTTATTACTTGTTCGACTAGTACACTTGTTAGATTCGCAACAATGAGAAAGGTTAAGAAATTAGAAGACTGAAAAATTACCATCTCCAAGCCGGATTAGCTTCGGGAGGGCACCGTACCCTTGAACTGTGTGATGATATGAAGGTAACGTAGCCTTGCAATAAATCAGTTTTGTCAACTACATAATGAAGTAAAAACAGTAAACATCTAGCCAAAAACAAGAGTGCCGGTACAAATATCTAACTGAAGATCAACCCTGACCACCACAATTGCACCCAACAAACCATATTAAATGTATAAAGTAGCATACCTGCAAAATTCGAGGCACCAAAAATTAGGAGAGAGAGAGCAGATACAACTGATGGTAACACTTCGTGATTTATACCAAGAAGCAGTTGGAGATAGAAAATTGTAGAAGCCAGTAACTCTTCACAACCAATTTTAATATCATGTCTTTGTCCGGAGGTATTTTCAACATGCACCAGTAAAGAATTCAGGGATTCTAAATTATGAACTTCTGCAAATCCAGAATCCATATCACCGGATTTCTGATGGATCTTCCCCATGATTACTGATGCTGTTAACCAGCGTAGAAATTTTGACACTAATGAGTTCTTTTGAGAGTCTTCCCCAAAATTATTAGTGAAAAAGATGTCAGACTCATTGGACCTCTGCCTTTGCGAAGACTCTGACTGTAAGGCAGTTGTAATTGCCCAGATAAGAAAACTTTGAAGCCTTTCCTGATTCTGTATACATTTAAGTGTAGTTATTCACATGCAAGACCCACTTGGTATAAAACTAATACATACACAAAAAAATCAAAATAATTAACTCATGCAAGTGCGTATTTTGGAGTGTGCGTGTTACGACATGGTACAAGCTGTTATGGGATGATTCAAGATTAAGGTGTCATTGAAGTCATTGTTAGGAGGATGTTGACGACTTGCAACAGTAACCAACTAACTAGGGAAGTTAGCGTGACTGATGTAGGAGTTAGAAGAAAGGCTGCTTAGTAATATAGATGTAGGATGTGTAAAAAGTAAAAACCATGTAGTATAAATAAAAAGCTGCAAGCTGAGAAAAGGAATGAATCATTTTAAAATTTTCTTCCTTTATTTGATTTTCTCTTCCATTTTACTGAGAGTTCTCAGTTACATTCGTAACAGTGGTGCTTTGCATGGCGAACAATTGGATGAGCCACCTAGATGAAAGCACCACCATTAAGTATGTAACTACAAACTCTCGGTAAAACGGAAGAGAGGAAGAAAACTTCAAAATGATTCGTTCATTTTCTTGCGTCTAAGTCCTACATCAGTTAAGCTAATAACTTCCCTGGTTGATTGGTTACTGTTGCAATGTCCTCAACATCTTCCTAACAACGACTTCAATGACAGTTTAATCTTGAATCATCCCGTAACAGCTTGCACCATCTCGTTGGGAGTGTGTGTGGTCATTGAATGATACGTTCTACCCACTCATTTGCCAAAATCAATGATTAAAAGCGTTCAGATAAAAATATACAGAAGTTTTGGCTTAATCAGAATTAGAGCTGTAGCCTGATAAATACAAATTTCTCTTAAGGAAAAAACGCTTAATATTCTGAAGTGAGAAAAACCACAACAAACAAGTCGACAATATTTTCAAAAGTAACGCTTTCACAATAGCATGATAAAGTAAATTAGATTATTATATACAGTGCAAGGTATAATCATACCTAAACATATAACATCTGCGCAAATTTATATTCTATGAAGTATGAACAGTGAATTTCATTTACTATTTTCATCTTAGGTATCATTATCACAAGAAATAACCAACACACTATGAAAACCAATTGCATTTCTGCACAGCTAAAATCTAATAAAAATATTAAAATATATAACAAACCAATATTGATGGATCTTAATCATGTCTTCACAAATAATTTATAAAATATATTTAAGTAGGGTAATTTATAATCAAGTGTTTCAGGATAAAAAATAAATAAATGATGGGGATTGAAGAAAATACCATTAAAAAAATGGAGACAGGAGGAGCATTCATAAGAATGGCTTCAAGAGCAAACTCCGAAGTAATGCTATTCGTTGCTTGATTACATGTGCTGCCAGCCTGGTATATCTGATATAACCCCTCAAATGATAGGGTAAAATGTGGCTGATATATTTTCCTTTTTTGAGATAATTTCAACATCGATGCTATCATTTGTAGAAAAGGATTAACTAGTCCCGCAGTTTCATTTGCCAATGTTACATCATGGAGTAAGAAATTAAATAGGTTAGATGAAAGCATCATGAGCTGCTCAAGGCCATAATTTTGCAACCACTTGGAGATGCTTCCGGATGAAATAACATCATTAACAATCTGAATAATAAAGGCTAGGGGTACTCAGTGATAAAGAATAAAAAAACTGAAAGTTAAAAAATAAAAAAAATAAAAAAAGGACAACTGTTTTTTTAAAGTATAAACTGTTAGAATATGTCAATAGCTAATCAGTCAATATATTTTATTTCCAGTAAAAGGAATAAAAAGAAGACAGCTTTGACTAACAATTTTAGGGGATAACTTTTGTGGTATTGAAGTTAAACCAAGCAAATATATATCTGATAAGAGCTAAATGACCAAGTATGCGAAAGAAGTTAGGATGGAGTTTCATGGTCAGTCTTAGGTCCCAAATACAGTTCAACAAGCACAAAAGACAAGTAAATTATTGTTTTACGATTTGAATTTTGAACTTCCTCCTTTTCAGAAAAGCTTAAATTATCAAAGAATCAAATTGCCACATACCCTCTTCAACACCATGCTCAATGAACAAGCTTGCTCAAAAATATGCACGCTTACAAGTCATAAATTTAGCAACCCCCAACACATTCAAAGAAAATCGGGAAAACATTAACACATAAAACCGGAGAAACAAAATAAAGGTGCAAGTAGGGAAGAGCGAAGGAGGACCTCAAACAGGAACTGCAAACTGAATGAGAATTAAGCACTTACCTTCAAGATTACCAACACATGCTTCAAGAAAAATCTATTTTCATCTCCATTAAGCCTCTCTTTAGTAACTGAGACAAGAGACGAAAACCATGAAAATAGAGAACAATGTTTCACTAAATGACGAGCAATCTTATGCAATTTGACAGACTTCTTTATAACCTGCGGAGAAAATAAGATAGCCTTACGATTATATTGGTAGAAAGATACTCAAAGGATTAGAGTTACAGTTAGAAATGATACATAGGAAAAAAGCATATTTCATCAAACAGCATAAATCTCAAACCATATAAATTCACAAGTGCTAACAATCAAGTTCATATCACTTTTTCACTGTTCTTTCAGGTAGGCAAGTCACACTCAGAGGCATCAATCAGGTTTTAGACCAAGCTGTCCGTGTGGATAATCGTTTTTTAAAGGAGAAGTGACTATTAGATCCAAGCACGACTTTTTACCAGCTGTCACAGCAATGAAACATTCAAGCTAATAATAGAAACTATAAATAATAGTTCTCATGCTTCAACTAACTGGTAGTTTCTAAGTATAAAAGTTAGGTCCATCAAGGCAACAATAGAAACACATTTAACTAAGAAATTCTAGCTACAAAGTTCCAATTAATCTAGCAGCCAACTTTTTATGAAATAAGCAAACATTTAATCAGATCACCAAGTATATTTATAACACCCCAAATGTATATTATGTACAGTGTTGACATGTAAATTAGTTAAAACACGACTTTTTACCAGCTGTCACACAAAATTTATTGATCAATTATTAATAATATTCTCCTTAAACAATCTCATAATTACCCATTGTAAACTCATTCTCAGCCAGCAAAATTTGTAAAATTAATAGGTAAGAAAGTCTGTTGGACTCAACAAATTTTTGTTTGGTTGCAGGGGACCCGGGGGATAGGAGGAGGTAAAAGAAAATATTATGAGAGAAAGAAAAAAAAGGTTACAAAAAACAAGTGTAGGATAAGATATTCTCCCAGGAAAGCCGCAAAGTAACAAAAAACAAATAATCATTTCTCTATTCCTTTTGCATAACTATTAGGAAAGATTCTGTATAGAAGATCATGGATCAAACACCAAAGAGAGGCCAGACAAACAGACCTGCCTCATACATATCAGATCAAATGGCTCAGAAGAGTTTTTGAAGATACAAGCATTTCGCCCTCTCGCCAAATAGACCAAGGAGCAGCATAATGTCCAAATGAAAGAATAGACAATGTGATTCAGGTATGCCCTCTCATGTCAATACCCAATAAGCTTGAAAGGTGGACAGTGGACAAGCTAGAAATTAATTACTACCTAGTGCTATAAACTCACAAGTACCTTGCAGGTTCACAAACCTAAAAACTTCTCTTTCCCAAATATTTTTTGGATAAACCACAGGTATCCTCCAATGGAGGCAATCCTGATCGGGGCGAGTCTAGGATTAAAGCTTTAAACCCCTCCCATTCGTCACTTGTTTTTGTTTCTGAGACTAGAAACCATCAATTTTTACACTGTCCAGTCGCTTGATAACTGAGTACTCCGTCTACAACGAATTTTGTGATGCATCCATATAGATTGGAAGAGTATCTCATTTTTTTGGCAGAAGGTATAGCTGTTTAGAGGTTTAAGAAGTAAAAAGTTCATGGCTCTTTGGCAGTGTGCAATGCATTCTGCTACTTGATGCTGATGGTTAGAGAAGACTGCTAGAATCATCAAAACATAATTTTTTATGCTGCCTCAGTGCCTCTGCTATGGGATGAAATATTTAACTTTAATAATTCAAAAATTAGTATATAACTTATAATGCAAAACGTAAATTTAGACCTATATTAGTGTTGTAAATTGTACAATTTATGACACTCGATTCAATTCAATCCAACAATTCAAAAAATTGGCATTCTGATTCATGATTCAATCACAATTTGAAAACCAAGTTAAAAGATGAATAGATGAAGCTGGGAAGAAACACAATCTTGGTAATTTTCATCAAATCATACCAAAAGATGAAGATATACTAGTCCAACACTAAAAGTTAAAGCAATATGATAGACCGAAAGGTGGGGTGGGCTGGGGGGAACTTTAAGAATGTGTCATTACCTCAATAATGAGGTCCTTTGACTCAACATCTGAAAGAGGACAGACATAAAAGCTCATTAGACTCTCAAGGATAGAGTTCCTGATATATATCATGGCATCATCATCCGTGTTAAGCCCAGAATATACTAGCCGAAGCATCCAAAGCCTTTCTGCTTTAAAATTGACAGATGTACTCCAAAAAAAGTTATCAAACAGGGGTATAGCCTACACAATTGAAGTAAATGGAACATAAAACAGAGTTATTCTTCATCACGAAGCAAAAGATTTTATGTAAATCAGGAAAAAAAAAAGTCAACAGATTGTGAAAGAAAATTTCAAGACCATAGATATATACCCTCATATTCAACTTAGAAGAGTGTATCAACAATGTACTTATAGCTGCATAATGATCATGTGACGAGTCTAACAATACACAAGATGCCTCTGCAGCAAAAAGAGCAATAACTGATGGAATTCTTTGCCATGGCTCTTCTACACTATTTTGAACAGAATTTAATAGAAGCCGAAGTCCCACAACATCCTTCTTCTTTGGGCATTTCTGTAAGGCATTAAGATTGTTAATTAACCACAATCTTTCAACAAGGAATATATGCGTACACACACATACAAATTTTCCACCAAGTCAAATCAGATTATTCCATAAGTAGCTTTTTGCACACAAGAAAGGGGGGAAAAAAGTGTCAATCAAATACGAATAAATAAATTACTAACTCAATCTTAAAACACAAAAAAATAAATCTGGGATTACCAAAATGAAATGTTATATGATGATAAGAAAGCAATATGCATAAACTGAAACTGATTACCAACCTCTACTGCATTCTTAAATTTATCAAGAGTACCATAAGCTAATCTTCTTATCCCCTGATCAGGCGAAGACATTCCAACAAATGCAATTGCAAGCAACCCTGACCCAGCAAACTCCACAGGCTCTATATACGCCTTTGATAGGCTATGAATTGAGAAACGCAAGATAAATACAGGATCATAACATTCTCTAACTTCAACTTGGGAAGAAAGCATCTGTAAAGGAGGGACTTTAAATAGTTAGTTAAAATTATGACAAAAACTAAAACTGGTACAAAACTATAAACAGGAAACATTGCTTAAGGTAGGTAACTTAAACACATGGCTCAACCTTTTTCCTGACAATATCTGGTTCAATCTTATTTACAGATGGTAGCCTATCAGAGATACTTCTGTCATAGGGAAAATAAAGAACGGTTGACACACATATGTCAGGGTCAATTGGAAAGTTATCTTTATGTTGGCTTCGGGACCATTCTTCAATTACTTCTGAATCAAACTCAACATTCCGAGACCATGATCCACTTTTGGACTCAATTTCTTGCATCAGATTGTATATCATGAAATCAATCGGACTGACTGTTGCCCCATAAGAATGACATAGTAGTGCATGCAGTTCTTTTAAATTTATGCCAACATCGTTTCCAGAATCTAAACCAGTTTGACAAGCCTTTGTCCACAAGAGTATCCAAAGCAATTTAAAAATTTCCAATGGTCCCCTAGAGAGCTCAGTTGTTTGCTCTTTATGCTTCTCATCATTTTCATAATGGTCGAGAGAAGGAATGACAAGACATTTCAGAATGCTGGATACAGGCTTCAAAAAGGAACCCGCTGGTTTGCGCACTGAATGGAGAGTGGGGGCAAACTGAGAGTGAGCAAGTAACAACCGAAGATGTAAATCATATGTTTGCTTACCCTCATTAAGCTGAGTTAATATAACTTGGAGGGTTTCTATTGTTGTAGGATCACCAAACCTATATAGAAGAGCAGATCTGAATAATTGCTCAAGGAAAGGAACAGATTGCAAATGAATAAGATCACTTTGCATCTCAACAGCCAATTCAAGAATACTTTTTAACACAAAGACTTCCAAGTGATTATATAGCAATGAAATGTTTGTGCCTTTTCCAGTTCCAGATTCATCAGAGGCAACAGAAAATTTCTTAACAATAAACTGCCAAATTTCCACCAAAATGTTTATGAAATGAATCCTGGATGCCACCAGTTTGTTTTGCATTTCTACAGCAACCTCTTTCAAATCCCCACCTGTTTCTTTATGGAACAACAATATTTTACAAAGTGATATCTTTGCAACAACACGATTGATGATGTTCAAAGACTGGTGCAGAGAATACCTATCAATAGCTTGACTATCACAGTCCATCAGCTCATCAAGAGAAACATATTTCGTGCAAATGGATTTAAACAGATTTAGTTGCTTCTTCACTTTCATTGAATCTCCATTAAGAGTAAAGTGATACTGCAACATATGAATTGATTTTCCAAGAAGACTACAATCAATAAGACAGAGAAGTTGTTGCATAGATGACGGAAAGAATTCTCCATAATCTTCCTCAAATATGTCTTTTGACAAAAAGCTCTTCCACTGACTAAAACCTTTTAAAAGAATCTTTGAATAAAAGTAAGGTAAACGTTTAAAATATTTGTGATTCTGCTCCCCAAGTCTCTCAGAAATTAAGCTCAAGTATGACAAAGCGGCTGGTAAAAGCAGCATAAACTGATCTTCTGAAAGAGTAAGATCAAAGGCATGTCCCATCATACCAAAATCATGATGTAAACTTCCATTCACTATACCCAAAAATAAATGTCCAAAGATTGATGAATGCAGAGAGCTCAGTTCAGTGAGAATATGCAAGAATTTAGCCTTTGTCGCATTGATCTTGAATATACAATGAGAAAGCACTTTCACTGGGGTAATCATTATAATTTTCCTCATGACCAACAGCAAAGGATGAAAAGCTTCTTGTTGCATATGTTTCTGCTTATACACAGCATTGACAGCTTCAAGCAAGCACCTATCAGCACAATCTATTTCAAAACTTATTGAAAAGGCAACTACTTCACAGTAGATCTGCTCAAAAATATCAGCTTTCATATTCTTTTCACCAATCTCCCAAAATAAATCATACGGTACCCTGTTTCCAGTTGGCTGCTGAAAATAAATGGACAAAGCGCTGAAAGCATCAGCAGCTAAGGAACATCCAACAGATAAAGAGGATTTCTTAGTTGGCAAATCATCCAACTCAACTCTACCAAACATCCAATCTACTAATTCAAGGAGCTGAAAAGGGGATACGAAACGAAACAAAGCGCGGAAAGCATACAATGTTGGTAGGAGAGGCATCATATCTTTAGCACACAAGCACAGTTCAAATCTATCTCTGATATCCTGAAACAGCTTCTGTTGAAGGCCTTTAAAAGCCTTCACAAAATTATTAGCAACATATCGAGCTTTTGATGCACAAAGGTGAGTACCACATAAAGACCACATGTAGTCTAGAGTCATTGTCAATATATTTAAAACTGGATTACCAAATTTGTGGAACCCTTCTCTGGATAGTAAATTTAGCATGCTGAAGTCGTTCCCTATATTGTCATTTGCAAAGTTCTGACCATTTCCCAAAGAAAAGGATAATGACATCAAAACAGAAGGATGACAAAAAATGGTTTTAATCACTTCTTGAATTTTGTGGCTTGAAGAACCAAAAGCAGAGTTTACAGACCAGTCAGAAGCACTTTCTGGAACCAATAATTTAGCTAATAAGTTCCTTACAAGAATGACACAGAAATTCAAAAGTTGTTCAATTTCAGCTAATGGTTTAATTTCATAACATAACTGAATCTGATGAGTCCAGAACAACACACATCGCAGGTTGAGAAGGAGGGCGCAATCACTTACGGACTCAGATAATTTATGCAGCAAAAGCTCTTGTATTTTAGATAGCTTTGAAACACAAGGGCCATTCATACACATCATTACAGCAAATATCACATGAAAAGGTGCCTGTTTTAGAAAGATACTAAATGCAGCAGCATCACCTTCAGAAGCATCTAAAAGTTGGTTACAAGTTAGGGAGTCTGGATACAATGTAAGATCAGAAGTTCCAACAGGAACAGCATTTTGACTATCACTACCAAGATCTGATACGGCCATATCCAAACCAGCATAAAACATTATAGGCCACAGCCTAGATGCATGGAGAAGAATGCTATGATCAAGAAAAAATACTGATGATAAGAGCGAGAAAGGAACTCCAAGTAAGTCACATGAAATGATGACACGTGATGGCTGATCCATCAATATTTTATCAGTACCTTCCATTATAAGGGAGGATATGAAAGCTATGGTTGTTTCAGCCATCTCATGACGAGCCCCACTACTTACTTTATTTACATCACCAAGTGCACTCCCCAAAGAACCATCAGAAGGGCCAGATTCTTCATTTATAGAGAAGAGGCAACAATTTTGTTTGTGTGATATGCTCTGCACAAAGTCCAACAAATTCTTCAGTGGCTTCCACCCATGAAAGACTTCATCGTATTCATAGCTGCCACCAAGTCTCTCGGTCAAGTCTGCATTAACTAAAGCAGATAACAATTCAGCACCGACCTATCAGAAGAACAGATCTAACATTAGATGTGCACCATCTGCAAGCAGACTTAAGCAAAAATGTCCAATTATGTATTTTGTACCTGTGTTTGCAAGAGATACTTGACTGTATTGCAAGTATACAATAATACCATTGATTTTTTAGGCAACGAGCAGGTTCCTGATTTAGGTCGGATCACCTTTAGACACTTCTCCAGCACACATATGATAAAAGGACTAAAATCAGGTGATAAATCTGCAATGAAAAGCACTAGATCAGCAATAAAGAGCTGTAACTTTCCCCAAAATTTTGGCAACACCAGATAGTAACATTTCCCAAGACATGCCATGACACAGGACCATTACTGGATATTATGACCATAAAAAAATCAGCATATGATATAAGTGACTTTAGAGTTAGACCATGTATGCAAAGAAATTACCTTTACCACCTTCCGAACAATGGACATAATTCTTAAGCATATTCCAATATTTAACTAAATTATTCCCAAGTGTAGAAATAGCATCGCACAAGAATGATATGACAAATGAAGTCAAACTCTGTAATACATCCACCTCCAAGATATTGACGGGGTATTTTTTTCTGTTATAACCAGGTAAAAATAAAAGCCATGCTTCTATCTCATGAAGGTTCCTGTCAAAGGCACCAGTACTGAACATAGCTGCCATGGCCAACCTGTATGCATAATCTCTTGTCTCATTGATTTGCGAAAACATTAACAATTTAATGAATGACTGTAGGTATTTGTACAACATGGGTGGAGTTCTTATAGGAATTTCATTGTTTGGACCCCATTCAATGTATTCCACAAGCAAAGCCAACAATGAGACCTGCAGATGACTTGTTAACTCTAATGGTTTTCTGAGAAGAAACTTGAAAGATTCAAACGAATTATCCAAAGTGAAAGGCATAGTGCGCTGCACAAGAAAAACAGAAAACAAATATATAAGATAACTTCATACATATTAGCATTATTTAGACAAATATATATATATATATGTATCTATGTATGTATTTCTAAAAAAATAAAGTAACTATTACACCAAACTTCCTTTCTTTCACTAGTTAGGATGGTTCAGCAAGATGCTGACCCACTAGTTAGGGAGACATTCTTAGGTGCAACAAGTGCATTTCACACAACAGCTCCACATTTAATTGTTCTGTCGCATGTCCTTATCTGACTAATCTGGTGTATTGCACTGAGCACTTATTAGAATTCCTCATATAAAATGAATAAAAAGACAATGGGGTGTTTCATAAAATGACTGTAGAATTAAAGTTGTGGGGGTAAACACAACTCCTTAATGACATTTTCTAGTCAACAAATAAAAACTAAATTATAAATCATGCCCAGTTTTAAACACTATGTTTACAGCATTATGCTGTTTTGGTCTGAATCAAATTACAGTATGGCCAAACACCACGAAGATGTAAGTGAAAGCTTCAAGTTCTAATCAGATATTAAATTCAAAAAAATGATGAACCAAGAAAGGTTATAATATAGTGAGTAATATAGAGGTTCGGAAACCAAAAAAAAAAAAAAAAAACACAAACATAAAAACTGAATGTCTGGAATAGAGAGAATCGCCGGAAATGGAGGTGGAAGCTGATCACCAGTCACCAAAAGTTGAAGCTGGCCTCTGGTCTGCTCAGAAACAAGAGAGAATGGTGGACACAGAGAGAGTATAGAGGTTGACACATCAGATGAAAGATGGATTAAAAAGACCACTCAACCTTTAAAATTTGACAGCTTGGACTTTAAATGGAGGGTAAAAACAGAAACATGCACTCCTTCCCTGCAGCATTATGGCACTGCATGTAGCAGATTGTTGCCGCTATCCGCTACAGTTGCGGTATAGCATGCACATGCACATACACAGATATATATATATATATATATATTGATCTCAGGACATTTTCCATTACATAACAGACTTCACAGTAGTAGTGTCTCGCAAAGGATTGAATAAAACATGATTTTTAAGAATTGTACATACACGATAATATCTGAGAGCATCAAGCAGTTTGGACAGTAAGTATGATTCTGCATCCTTCAGGGTGCAAATAGCCATGGAACAAAGGTCCACACCCCAAATTTCCCCAATGCTATTCATGAAGTCCTCCACATCATCCAATGCATCTACTCTAAGCGCACTGTCAACTGTTCCACTGTTGTCAGTCAAATCAATATCTGGAGCAGAACTTATCCCACCAACAACTATATCTATGTCACTCTCAGAAGTATCCATTTTTAACTTCTTTCTACTATTGGTGCTATGTTCTTGATGACATGAATTTCTCTTCAAACTTGAGGTACGGACTTCTGAACAAGCATCTGAAGAGGAAAGTAAATTTAATAAAACCTGCAGATCAGGAAGAAAAGCTTGAACATAATTCTGAATTTCTTGCTTGATAGACATCATATGTTGCATGAATGGATTGCTGGAACTAGAATTAAGGTTCAAACAACCAAAAAGATAGTCCAGCAATTTGAGTAACTCCAGAAGAAGCCTTAGAGTACCATGTTTCACATAAGGTTCAGCGTGATGCAATCCCTTATTAAACATTGACCTGCTGAATGGACGGGGAAACAAGCACTTCATGATATCGTGCAAATCCATATTGTCAAATGAATGTGTATCATTTGATCGAGAGTTGATGAATTCCTTGGAAACACCATTGCCCACTGATAAAACCAAATGAGCTGCCAAAGATATCGCAGAAATCCTGCAAATAAATCAGTCACCAACCATACAAGAGGAATGGAGAAAAGAAAAACATACATATATGAGATATAGTAGCAACACACTCTTTGACACTCTATTGTCAATACTCTCTATTTACCTTAATAATAGAGAGTGGAACCAGGTCATTTAGGTGGATGCTAGCATGAGTTTTCACTCAATAATAGAGAGAGCATTAAAAAAGGGAAAAAAAAAAATTAGCCCTCATGCAGTTCATATCCCACCAACTTAAATTATAACACATGGACTTACATGGTATCAGAAATGAAGTTGTTGTCAAGAAAATAGGTGTAAACGCAGTTAGTTTAATCCATGTCTTGTAATTAAGTGGTGTAGATTTACCCCAGGAGGACAAAAAATGTATCCGTTGAAAAGTGAGTGTCAAAGTGTGGGTTGCTAGCATTACTCATATATAAATTTAATGAATACAAGACCCAAAAACAAAAAAGCATATAAACAATTCTGACCATGAAGATGATTTATAATTCTCAATGTTGTAGGGAAACTCTTTCAAATACGACAAACCAAAAGAAGGTCTGGCATTAACAATAGCCAAAAGCAAATCTCTATGATATTGAACCTCAGTTGCCCGTAGCTTCTTCATGAGCCCCATGATTCTCTTCGGATTACCCCTTAACGGAGTTGGACGCCTTTTCAAATCAGGCATCAATCCATTGCTTGGATCAGTACAAACCCTAACAAGAACATCACACGCCAACTCAGCAGCATCACCACCACCTTCCCTTCCACAAACATCAACCAACTGTTCCAACGTCACACTCCCAAACAGAACACTCCTCAGCCCTGGCGGCACCAACGACTCTTCAACCAGAACCCTATCCCTCAACGTGGACAACACAAACACTAAAGTCTCATCATCATCTCTCCACAACCCGCGAAGAACACCAGAATACATCTCCTTCTGCTGCAGAACCCAACGCAACAAACCAGGCCTGCCAACCTCCAAAAACGACATTGCGAATCCAACAAACGACTTCCTCAGCAAAACCTCACTCCTTTTTCTCTCGCTGTTTGAATTCGAATTCGAGTTCCTCCTCCTCTTATCTCCCGCGAGCCTGACGAATTCGCCGAGCTTGAAATCGAAGCTCTTCGCAACCTCAGAGGCCAAACTCGCACTGCGCCTCACAATCGAAGCGACGAGCAAAAGCGCACTCTTCTGCCGTTTCGATTCCTTGCTATTCAATTCCTTGTACACGTCGCTTAAGTGTTCTGCAATAATCAACCTCGCGAACTTATCCAAATCCTTAACACTCTTCCCCTCGTGGTGACTCAGAATGGTGGAAATCAAATCGAATATGTAATACATTCCTTGCTTCCCTTGCCTCAGCTTCCATGCTTCTTGTAACTCGGAACACTTCGGGGAACCGCGAATGTACTCGCGGAGCACTTCGCCTCCGTCTTCGCCCTTTAACAACTTCACGAACTCTTTTGCGGCGTCGGAGCATAGCTTTATCTCAATCGAGGTTATTCTATGCAGCAATTCTTTCAGTTTTGCTTCGTGGTTAACCTTTACTTGGAAGTTTAAAACAGCGCCGTCCCCGCCGCCGTCCATGGACACCGTAGCTGCCTGAACCTTCGGCGGATGTAGGAGCGACGCGTAGCCTTCGATTCACAGTTAGTGTGTCTCGCGCAGAAACAAGGTTAGGGGTTTAGGTTAAACCTTGTGCAAACGGCGTTCTTTTATTAGATTTATTTTTAAATGAAAACGGTTCAGACACACACTACAGGTCGCGGGTTCCGTTAGATTACAAAAGCGGTCCAGATGCTTGTAAATCGAAATCATCCATGTATGTCCTCGAGATTAGTATCTATGTTAATTTTGTTGAGATATTCAAATATTAGTTGATAATCAGTTAAATGAATATTATATAAGTGAAAGGATCTATAAATTAAATGTTTTAAGATTTTTGGTTGAAATATAATATTAGATTCACTTGGTATAATTGGGCTAACTGAATTTATAGTAAGGGTCGCCTGTCAATTGTCATGGACTCCCTTAGCCTGTCTGACTCTGGTTGGGGTACTCACAGAAACTGTTGTCAAGAGAGAGCATACTAATGTGAGGTTGCCTTAAAATTTTGGGTTCAAACTCACTTGCTATGGTTAGTGTTGCTTATCTCATTAGTGGTTAATATATAGTGTTGGACCCACTTACTAAGAATAAGTATAACTTAACTTATTGACGGTGGTCCTGTGTCATGAACTCCCCATTAACTCATTGATCATGTTCTTTATTATGTTGCTTTTGAAGAGACTAATTCCTTTTTGACTAGAAAGGATGCTTATGATGATCATGTTGTGGAAAATTTGGCCTACATCCTTTTGGGTGATAAGAAAAGTGAAGAAGAGGTCAACAAAAGAAATAAAGTCACAAGGCGAAAACCCATCCCAACATCAAAAAGAAGGACAAGAATTCACAAAGAAATGAAGATGACACTATTGGAGATGTTTTAAAAAGGGTTTGGTTAGCAAAATACTCCATGTGGTAGCTAAGTCTCCTAAACTCCATACTTGCTTGCATATGACATCATATTATATATCATTATTATGAATATTTGTCTAGCATAAAACAAGTGGCATTTATAGTACAAAATTTGACATTGATTTTTATTGTTGGACTACAAGTGATATGCATGTATGGAATGATTTATATGTTCATCTTTTCATGCTTTTGGCTTAAGGAATCTTATGTTCAATAATTATTTATCATTATGTATGATGCCAATGGGGAGAAAAATGATCAACCTAATGCACGTCAAATGATTTATGCTTTGAAAGTCGCATGATTTATATTTGCTAATTAATCTTATGCATGCTATTCTTAATCTCATGCCAGTCATATACCTACAACTTGCACATATTATTTTATGCTAGCAAAAATGGAAGAAAATAATTTAAATCATATCTCATGTCATACTCTATACAATGTTCAACTAGGATTTGATGCTTCGTATTGTATTATTATTTGCATGTCCTAGATATTTATGATATAAATGCTTTGTACTTGGATCATATGATTATATTTGGATGTTTTGACTTGCATGGATCATTTATGTTGGATTTATGATATATTGAGCACTTGATGATTTAATTCCACTTCCAAGGCATACTTGCACTTACTTGATCATTTGAATGTTTTGTTATATATATTGGATATTTAATGCCTTTTCATGTTGCCAAGGGGGAGAATAAGTGCCGTTTGAGAAAATGTAGCACACTTCTACATAACACGTGGAGAAAAGGTAAAATAAAGAAGAAAAAGATAGAATGCACTATAAAGGTAAAAATGAGGTTTGTTGACACTAAAATTCTTATACTTTTGTCTTTGAAACCATTCATGGATTAAGGGGGAGCATTGCTAGTTGCTTTGATGTTCTTGCTTTATTGGTAAATAACATGTAGTCTTTATCACCATGCTTAATGGATATTTGTTATATTGCTCATAAATTCGTATGCTTAACTTGGTTTATGTTTTTTGATGTTGCCAAAAGGAAGAGAAATATATGAAATTGAGAAAATTTTATTATCCCACCATATACATACATGTTGGTTTGCAATGCTTCACTTTCATAATTATAACATTTTCAAACCATTCATAAATTAAGGGGGATTATTGATATACATTATTTGAGAATATTTGTTATACTAACTCTTTCTCAATTTTAAGTTTATCATCATCAAAACGGGGGAGATTGTAGATATAAGGTATGTTTTAATGATAACAAAGTGGCAACAATAAAAAGAGAAGAGCATTGATCAAGAGCAAAAAAATCAACCATATGCATATATTGAAGATATATGATAAAGCCATGCAAGAAGAATAAAGAAGAGCAATGAATCAAAAGCATTAAGATGACAATCCAAAAGCAATAATCATTAAACTTGGGCAATAAACATGAAGAGGTTTGAAGAGAAAAATCAATATCAAGGCAACAAAACCATGGAAAACCTTTAAGAAAATAAAAGGATCAAAACCAACAAAGTGTCAAGTATTGTCATATCCAACAATTCAAAGCACCAAGTTCAAGTGAGGATCAAGATCAAAGGATCAACACAACAAGCTAAGTTCTTATTCCTATTAGATCACACTTTTAGGACTTAGATATGATTGTAAGGGTATATGGTAGATTGCATTGCATAAGCTCAAAGTTTTTCTCAAAGTAAATGTGTTTTCTCAAATTGTATAATCATAACCTTTATATACTTGAAATAAATTTGAAAAACCCATGGAAAATACCCTTAACATGTTTTATAACTTCAAAACATATTTATCAAGTTAAGATCTTTTGTAAAAAGTGGTTAGATGCAAGTTAGAACACATTTGAACTTAAAACTTGTTGCATACATTCGATGTTGTCTTCTGGACAACTTTTCATATCCAATATGATGGATTTAGATCTTGTGTTCTTCATAAAAGTTGTAGATCTCTCTTTTATATTTCCAATGAGACTAAGATCACATCAATCCAACAAGTATAACTCAAGTTATGCTCAAAATACGAAACAATATTCTTACTATCAGGTTGGGAATCAATTACCCATAGTGAGGTAATCGATTACCTTTTGAGGTAATCGATTACCCACCTTTGGTAATCGATTACCACTGCGACATAATGCTTATAACGACTATAAATAGCTAGTTTTGAGAAAAATCACTATATATATTCCCAACAACTCTAGAACCAATTGGGCATCATCCCTACGCATCTTAAGCATACTTTGATAGTCTCTACACTATTATTTGCATATTCTTTCATATCTTTCAAAGATCAAATATATTTGAGCTCGTATTGCAAAAATCCATATACCCATAATGCTTCAAGTCGTATATCCACACTTTGAGAGTGTGTATTTATTTTCAAACACTTCCTCCTTTGTATTCTTGAGTTGAGAGGGTTGTGAGACCCATTGTATTTGAAAGGTACCCAAATACCTAAGTAAAGTTAGAGTGTAAGGCATCCAAGAGCCCGAAGTCTTGGACGATTGTAGTGATTTTTCAAGCACCCATGAAACTTGACGAAAAGTGAAAGAATTGATTGATTGACTTCAGTCTGAATGTAGGTCATAAGTGGTTGTGACCAAACCAGGATATATTATGTTTGCAATTCTCTAAACTCTAAACTCTTTATTTCTAGCATTTTAATTTATTCTTTTATATCTTGTATATGCTAGCATAAGTTCTGTAATTGTGATATATTATATGTTATGAATTGCTTGAATGTATTGATTAGCTTTTCATATATCAAAGTTTGCTTGAAATGATTATTTAGAAACTAGAAGGGGGCTTTTACGAAAATTTGGTAATACTCAATTCACCCCCCATGAGTATGGAAGCTACATTTCTAACAAATATTAGTTATTCTTTAGTATACGTCATTTAAGATTGATATTGAAATAAATAAACTATTGTTATTATTATTATTATACAATAAATAAAACACACCAAAATATACAATTTAATCACAAATTATTAAAAAACAACACTCCAAAAAATATAAATTAATCATAAATTATTACAAAAAAATTCAAAATATATAATTCAATCATAAATTATTATAAATAACACTCGATAAATATATAAAGCAATCATAAATTATTACAAATAATATCCCAATATATATAATTCAATCACAAATTATTATAAATAACACTCGAAAAATATATAAATCAATCATAAATTATTACACACAACACTCCAAAATATATAATTTAATCACAAATTATTTAAAAAAAACTCCAAACATTCCACATGAAAAGATTTTCTTTAATAATTATTAGGTAAATAATATTTTACTATTACAATATTAAATATACCATTGGTATGGTAATATTTTCCCTATAAATAGAAATCAGAGAAGCCATTAGTCATTGCTTCAACGTTGAGAGAAATCAAGAAGTGAAGGGTCTTGGGGAAAAAAGAATTTTAGAGTGACGAAGCTTTATAATAAGAAAATATAAAAGTAAATACTAAGAGTAGGGTAACTTCTTTCTTTCTTCTAAAATATAAACTTCATGGAATTGATATTTTGTTATTTATTTTACTTTTCCTCCTTTTTCCCTAATTGGTCTCAATGGGATACCACGTTCCAATTTATGTTATGTTATTTCTTTCAATAATTTATGTTATAATAATTTATATTTTTTCAATTTATACTTCAGCAATTTACATTTCCATAATTTAGCAATTTATAATTATATATGTGTGTATGCGTGTGTGTGTGTGTCTATATATATATACTTATTTATAATTCATCAATTTATATTTCTGTTATTTATGTTTTAATATAATTATATATTTACGTATATATATATTTTAATTTATATTTAAGCAAATTTAAAATTTTATAATTAATAATTGGGGAAGGATATTGTAACAACTTACTACCAAGTTACTACCAATCAATCTCACCGTTAGATCGATTATGTTGATCCAACGGTTACATTTACTTCCATCTATGTATGATCATGATTTTCCAAATTTAATACTTTATATTTATTTCCACCTTTGAATGATTATGATTTCCCATATTTAAGGCTTTCACTTTAAATATGG